ACACGGGACAGTTGTTTTGAACATCACGAGCTGAACCACGAGGCATCCATACCGACGAAGAGTTTTCCATCTCTTGGTATATTAGCCGTAGGCTAATATTCCAGGCAGCGGCACGAGGAGCCGGATGGAGGAAACATGGATGCACGCTTGGTAAGGACAGGATTGTATATCAGGACGTGAGCTTTACCAAAAGGCATCCACGCACCGCGCTGCCCGCCCTTGACGCAATTAGCAAATAAGTTGGCTCCAAATGTGATAGCCAAATTTCAATTACGTTAATTAAAGTTCGAAAGATGATTGGTGTTACTAACAAAAGACTACGTCAAGAGCCCGTTACTATGTAACGGAAGACAAACCAGCCACTCCACACCTAGGCAGTTTTTCACACGCAGTCCACATTCGTCATTTCGTGCACCGGCCTGCCCGCTGCACAACGTAACATCTATTGCAACTAATATACTGTCTAAGGCATGACTATTGCTCCAAATGGTTTTTTTTCACAGACTGGATTGTGCTTTACATGAAAATATAATGTGATCGATGATATCTGTTCACCTCTAAACGTGTGAAATGTTCAAATCATTTTGGTATGTGGATAAGAGGCGAGATTAGGAATGTGTAGAAATGTCGGTGGCTGCTGGACGCATCTGGAACTGAGCTCATGGTCCAAATCATCGAAGAAAGCGACGAAACTACAGAAATGTCACGATAAAGATGCGCAGTACCGTGTATGCTCATGCCATACAGCTGCAAGCTAAGACAAAACTAGAAATGATATTTGGGTAGAAATCAAGTGAAGCATTACCAATGCAGAACTACTTGTAGTCAAAGGAACCAATGTGTCCAACATATCAATCAGCTAACATTAAAGGACGCATGTGTAAGGCCGCATGTGTAACTGTAATCGCTCTTGATCGACTACAAGAATGGAAAGAAAACGCCAACGGAGTAAAACTTCACCATGTGAATCTGCGTATAACAACTGGCGTTCGTGATCAAGTGTGCACAATAGATGTGAGGTGAGGACGCGGTGTCATTGCGATACATCAACTGATGCAATATTGCAATGCAAAAACCTCGCTCTTATGCAGGGGTTGGATGGACCTCCTCTCCCTCGGTTTTTCGCAAATAAATCGCGTAAAAAGCTGCCGATTGATACAACTTACAGTTCTCCTAATTCTAGCAATGTTTCATCTTCCTTGAAAATTTGACGACTTTGACATAATGGCCACTGACCTATAACCTGTTACATTTGACCCGTGCAAAAATGTTACAATTGTCCCCGTCGCGACTTGATATATTTTAGACGAAACTGGCGCAAAAAAGATGTTGCATGTATAGCATTTAATGCTTTCAATTTATCGACAACAAGCCTACTTACGCTTACACAAAGTCTGAAGTCGATATCTTTTCAATGGCGGGAGTGAGCTAATTAAATATAACGGTATAAAAATTTACAAAATGCTCTCAAAAACACATTACTGTGCACAGCCATCGACATACCAGGCACTTTCGCCTCAAACTCTGTTGGGAAAGGCAGTATAGAATAACGCATTTTCGGTCTTAACATCATCTCATTCTATTGGTAAGTTTATGAATTATTAACACTGTTACAATTGCCCCGTGTTACATTTGACCCCGCTCTCCCCTAGTTCAGTCGGTACTGAGTAGCCCGCAGCTAATAACAAACCTGATATTTGCTTCCTGCACAAACGTAGATGGCGGCTAGCATTATGGAAGTGTCTTTACATGATGAGTCTGATCGACGATGATGAATGAAATAATCAGTTGAAGTCGTTGAAAGATGACGATGTCCGGGTCGCAACGAGGTGACTTAAAACTTGCAGGATGAATAACTGATGATTGGGCCGATGAATGTGGCTTGTGCTGCAGCCGAGGCCTGTAGGGACGGAAGACCGGTGAGGTACAAATGGAGCAAGGAAACGAGACGTGAATGTACACCAAGCAAAATGATATTTAGCTATCATAAGCGTTGACAATGGTGAACAAAGTCGCCGACGTCATTCGGATCGGGACGTAATTGATTTATGTCCGACACCAGTGGCCGAGGTACAATGTTGTTGTTGGCGTCAACCTCATATGCTGATGAACGTGCTGTACAAACGCCCATGACGTCTCGGTCAGTGAAAACTGTGCCATTGGCACCCCCTGAATTCGGGGTCTAGCGTCACCGTACAACGCCCGCCCTCACGCAGCAGCGACGAGCGCGATACGACGCCAGAAACAACGCTGTCCGGCGGCAAATTAACCAAACGGCCATGCTCAGGCACCTGGATCTGATAGCCTGGATACGGCAATCCGGGCGTCTGCTGGTTACACTTGACGCAACGCACACGGCGAAGCGAATTGTACAAGGCATGGATGTCACGTAGTACCTGTAAGTTGGAGAACTCAAGCTCGGACGACGGATCTTCAGAATCCGTGTCGAGTGGATCGTGCCACGCCTGGCAGCATTTTGCCTCGCGCGGACTGTCCACGGTGAAACGGCCGGCTGTGAACTGACTGCTAGAAATAAGACGGAAGCGTCCGCGCTTCGCCTGCGTGCCAAGTGTGACGACGCCACTGTTTGTCGTTCGGGTTAGTGCGGCACGACGACCAGTCCATTCAGCAGCTCTGCAGTCCATTCAGCAGCTCTGTCATCACCACGGTAATGATAGCTAGCCAGAACCTCAGTCTCCTCTGTACAATCAGACGCGTCCAGCACACGTAATGAGCGAAGCTGCATTGCCGGTGGCATTAACGCGTCTCCCGCCGTCCGAGAGCCCATGGCCACCCAGGTGGACGGCTTGTCTTTCCGCCGTGCAGGTGACAAAGTCTGGAGGAGTGTCACACGTGATGCCGACCAGCCGGTCACAAGTGAAACGAACTCGGTGCTGACAGCCGGCGTAGGTGTAATGACCGAGCGGATACTTGGACGCAGCTCTAGCATCGATAACACGCAGTGTGCCGCAATCGATACACGAACGGAGATAGAACGATGCGAGAGCACTGACATCTGCAGTGACATGGGCTGCAGTGCGCTGAGGCGGCGCCTGTGCCACCGGCCTGCGCTGTTGACGCTTACCTGACGTGGCGGAACGAGTGACGAACATTACGTTGTACTGAACGCGAGTGGCGTTACCGCGATCTTCGTGACACTGTGGTCCGGCAAAGACGTCAATCAGGTGAATGTATCTGAAACGGTGTTGCCGTAGCTTATGATGAACATCTCGAGGCAAAAGTTCGAAATGCTCGTCTGAGAGTGTCTCCGACCAAGGGTCAGCTTGAAACTCGGCCCAGCGATCAGCGCCGTGTCTCGATATAAATATCTCACGGAGGGTAGAGGAACGGTAAAATTTATACCAGCCCTTACCGTAGTAGTGCAGCTGGAGGAGATTATGCCGGTCCTCCCAAGTCTGCGGACCCCGGTGAGGCTGCAGACCTTACTCCTCCGCCCGACGTGGATGTTTTGAGTAGAAGCGATCTACAAGGCGGAGTGTCTCGTGGAAGAGTTCCTCGTCCTCTAGAACGGCGGCCACTGTTGGCCCATATTTTTTTTTACCATGTCCTTGAAACGGAGCCATAAGTGAAAGGTGTAGCGTAACTGTCCGCTACGCGATGGAGCAGGAAACCCACGTCGCTTCAGATTGTTTAGGTAAATCTGACGTTTTTCCCCATTGTGACCAATAAGGTACGTCACAGCAACGACACAGCAACTTCACTGTTGCAACTCGGCAAGGTAGTACAGAAAGTGATGAAGAAGCAGTGCGTGGGGTTTACAACAAGTGGGACATCCCAGTAGCAATCGGAGCGCAAACAAGGTGAACTGGGAAGGCTTTGGACCGTATGACACATGGTACAATGTTCAGTGTATCAGAAGCGTGAATGTAGAAGATAAAAGGTCGCGGAAACAATGAGATAAAACTGCAGACTACCAGCCCTATGAGTTCGTCGAGAAGACGACCGAAAAACGAACGTAGTTGAGAAATTCAAAAACGTTAGGGATGAGAGTCGAGTCGTCATCTATAAGACCCCGTAAAGATACCGTTCTGGATCCGAATATACGAGCTCGGTTGGCCGAAAACTAGTTTCTAATAGGTCTCTGATTCTAAAAGCACATTGTAATTTGATGACTTTGACATGTCATGTTTAAACGGTAGACGTTACCGGCGTCCAGAAGCACGTAGGATGTGACGCAACACGGTTCCCATGGCGTCATCAGTAATATGCCATTCATCTGAGTATGGCCCCTTGCCGACTCGGCCATTCTCATATGACTATTCTATTTTCACTTACTAGATGGATTGGGTACACAAAGTAACGGCCGAGGTGTTAATATATTATAAACCTGCGCGGAAATACAAACGTAAAATGCAGCGCAAAAAGTTCCACCAAGCAGTTCAGAGGCGATTTTTTCCATACATAAGCATAAAAACACTTATTGTTGATTTCATCAGACGGTAAAATACGGGGGTTATTATAAATACTTAATAACTAGCCTTTGGGATGGGCAAAAGTCTGATACACTAAACCATGACCATATTTGTCGGCTGTTACTGTATCGTCGAATTTCCAATGGTGAGGCAGTTGGAGACAAAGGAAACGAGAATGAAAGACGTCATCACTTGCTTTCGAAGCCAGAGAGCGTTCATTCATCACCAATAATGGTGGAGCAGTTACGTGCGTGCGTTCTGTGAGACTACACAAATGTTCTGTTTGGGATCATCACTGGTCCCTGTCCAATGGAGAGCCTTTGTGTAGTGTCACAAAGGCTCTCCAAAACGGTGTAGTGTGACAAAACGGTGTAGTGTCATGTGAAAGTAAGAGCAAATTAGCAAATAACTCATATATAGTAACCAAATTTGGTGGCGACTTTTTGGCACAGCGGAATCAATACGCCGTCCATGGGAATCAATCCCCAATAGCATATAGCATAAAATTCGAAACCTTTCATTTCTGGAGCATCTCCTTCCTTACGTACTTCCTTCCTTACGACGTACGTTTTATTATGTTCGCAGACCCGTCGTCTCGGCGACCAGAATGACGCCCGTTGTCGTTTGTAAGGCCTTGTATAGGGTTCACCATGACGGTCTCTTTGCTGTGGAAGAGACAACGTGATGATGCTCATACTTATCTTCGACAATATCTTTGTGCGGGTTTTAGCGTGTCGTCGAATAGCTCGAAAGTGAGCAGTTGGAGCCGAAGGTAACGAGAATGAAAACCGTCATCGCTTGCTTCCGGAGCCAGAGAGCGTTCTTCTCTAAGCTACGGCCAGGACCAGCTATGCAGCAACTGCCGTCTAGCAAGCAACTCATAGACAGTTACCCAATTTAGTGGCGACTTTTGGGCACAGCAGAACCTAGACGCCGACCATGAGAATTCCCAATGGCATGAATTTCGAAATTTTTCACTTCTGGAGTATCTACTTTTTGCGGTTTATTATGCTTTGGAGTTTGTCGTCTCAGCAACCAGAATGGCGGCCGTTGTTTCCTTTGTACTTTTGAATAGATATAAATCTTAGGAATACAACCAATGCGCGTCGTGCGGCATACACAATTAGTATAACGTTTGACAATGCAATTAACATATGCGACGTATGCAACGTTCTTTTGTATTTGTGAATGAATATGAATATTATGAATACAACACAGTGTGTAACAAGGATTTGTATTATTCAACATACGGCAAATATAGTATAACGTTCGACCATGCATTTAATCTAATATGTTTGTTTATCAGGGATTTACGACGACTGCTGTGGTCATTTTGCGCCCATAAAAATTTCAACATAAATAATGTGTGGCATTTGAAGTTGAATGCTCGACCTATGTAGTTCATTAAAGACAAATCATGACGACGAACAAAAATCTCTAAGCAAACGCCTGTTAGAAGAAAAGATGCAGATTAACATGTGAGAGCCAACGTGAAGAGGACAATCAGAAAAAAGTTCCTTATAGGGGTCAACCTGGCATTTCACATCAGCATTCCAATGGAAATTAGCAAGGACATCATCTTTGTCACTCTCGTGCAATACACCATACATCTACAGCACCCACTGGATGTCAATGGTTACTCAGCCAAGCGAGTGTGGCACAAGATGATGGAAGACTGCATGACGTAGGCCAGTACAAAGACCAGCATCCCAATAGCAGTACTGCCTTCACTGGAGAGCAAGCTGTCTGTCCAGAATCAGATGTCAGGGGAAACCCAGTCTTCAGAACAACTGGAATACTTTCCCAAGATCCAATCAAAGTTCTGCAGCGTGTGCTTGGAATCGGTGTGAAAGAGGCCACGTCTGTGCTGGACGAGTCAGTCAGTACACTTTTGCAAGATTAAAAAAAAAAACTAGAAAAAGAAAGAAAACGGAAGCAAAGTCAAGCATCCCAACTGGAGTGACTGTAGAGCCTGAAGACCTCAACAGGTCATGAGCATCAGGCACTGCAAAGAAAGACAAAGCAACGCCAAAACACCAAATACGAAGCTTCACTGTTGCAACTCGGTAAGGTAGTACAGAAAGTGATGAAGAAGCAGTGCGTGGGGTTTACAACAAGTGGGACCTCCCAGTAGCAATCAGAGCGCAAACAAGGTGAACTGGGAAGGCTTTGGATCGTATGACACATGGTACAATGTTCAGTGTATCAGAAGCGTGACGAAAAATGATGACAAAATTATGGAGCAGTTCTGGACGTGCGTTCTGTGAGCCTTCACTAATGTTCTGTTCGGGATCATCACTGGTCCCTGTGCAATGGAGAACCTTTATGTTTTGATAGTTGAAAACATTTTAAAGTGCTGTTTCATTGTCCTCTGTTTACTTACAAAACCACTTTAGCGGTAGCACGATCACTCACATATCATGGCTGGAGTCAATGTGCCATCCAGATCGAATTCTAGGACGGCGCACACAGTCACAAGATTATCGTGTGTCACCGGTGGATGGAGCGACGGGGATAAACAGATTTCATCCCGTGTCTCGCCCGAGTCACGAAACAAGTGTGAAAACCTGCGCGGAACTACAAAAGAATATTATGTGCTGCAGTCAAAACCCGTTACTGAAACCGACTCGCACAATGAATACGACACAGAGTCGAGCAACGCTTCGCAATGGCCAATGTGCGTGTGCGGTACATTTAGTACGCTTTTGGCATTTGCAGGTAAACGTGGATAAAGCGAAAATAAGATGAAATCGCTATTCGAGCCTGAAGACCTCAACAGGTCATGAGCATCAGGCACTGCAAAACAAAGTGGGAAAAGCCACGCCAAAACACCAAATACGAAGCTTCACTGTTGCAACTCGGTAAGGTAGTACAGAAAGTGATAAAGAAGCAGTGCGTGGGGTTCACAAGTGGGACCTCCCAGTAGCAATCAGAGCAAACAAGGTGAACTGCGAAGGCTTTGAATCGTATGACACATGGTACAATGTTCAGTATATCAGAAGCGTGATGAAAAATGATGACAAAATTGTGGAGCAATTCTGGACGTGCGTTCTGTGAGCCTTCACAAATGTTCTGTTTGGGATCATCACTGGTCCCTGTCCAATGCAGAGCCTTTGTGTTTTGATACTTGAAAACATATATAAGTGCTGTTTCATTGTCCACTGTTCACTTCTAAAACCACTTTAGCGGTAGCTTGTTCGATGTGTTATGAAAAGTTATAGATTGACGACGTAACGATCACTCACATAGCATGGCTGGAGTCAATGTGCCATCCAGGTCGAATTCTAGGACGGCGCATACAGTCACAAAATACCGTGTGCCACCGGTGCATGGAGCGACGGGGATAAACTGATTTCATCCCGTGTCTCGCCCGAGTCACGAAACAAGTGAGAAAACCTGCGCGGAAATACAAAAGTATGTTACGTGCTGCAGTCAAATCCCGTTACTGAAACCGACTCGCACAATCAATACGACACAGAGTCGAGCAACGCTTCACAATGGTCAATGTGCGTGTGCGGTACATTTAGTACCTACGCTTTTGGCATTTGTAGGTAAACGTGGATAAAGCGAAAATAAGATGAAATCGCTATTAGAGCCTGAAGACCTCAACAGGTCATCAGCATCAGGCACTGCGAAGTAGTAGGAAAAGACACGCCAAAACACCAAATACGAAGCTTCACTGTTGCAACTCGGCAAGGTAGTACAGAAAGTGATGAAGAAGCAGTGCGTGGGGTTTACAACAAGTGGGACATCCCAGTAGCAATCGGAGCGCAAACAAGGTGAACTGGGAAGGCTTTGGACCGTATGACACATGGTACAATGTTCAGTGTATCAGAAGCGTGAATGTAGAAGATAAAAGGTCGCGGAAACAATGAGATAAAACTGCAGACTACCAGCCCTATGAGTTCGTCGAGAAGACGACCGAAAAACAAACGTAGTTGAGAAATTCAAAAACGTTAGGGATGAGAGTCGAGTCGTCATCTATAAGACCCCGTAAAAATACCGTTCTGGATCCGAATATACGAGCTCGGTTGGCCGAAAACTAGTTTCTAATAGGTCTCTGATTCTAAAAGCACATTGTAATTTGATGACTTTGACATGCCATGTTTAAACGGTAGACGTTACTGGCGTCCAGAAGCACGTAGGATGTGACGCAACACGGTTCCCATGGCGTCATCAGTAATATGCCATTCATCTGAGTATGGCCCCTTGCCGACTCGGCCATTCTCATATGACTATTCTATTTTCACTTACTAGATGGATTGGGTACACAAAGTAACGGCCGAGGTGTTAATATATTATAGACCTGCGCGGAAATACAAACGTAAAATGCAGCGCAAAAAGTTCCACCAAGCAGTTCAGAGGCGATTTTTTCCATACATAAGCATAAAAACACTTATTGTTGATTTCATCAGACGGTAAAATACGGGGGTTATTATAAATACTTAATAACTAGCCTTTGGGATGGGCAAAAGTCTGATACACTAAACCATGACCATATTTGTCGGCTGTTACTGTATCGTCGAATTTCCAATGGTGAGGCAGTTGGAGACAAAGGAAACGAGAATGAAAGACGTCATCACTTGCTTTCGAAGCCAGAGAGCGTTCATTCATCACCAATAATGGTGGAGCAGTTACGTGCGTGCGTTCTGTGAGACTACACAAATGTTCTGTTTGGGATCATCACTGGTCCCTGTCCAATGGAGAGCCTTTGTGTAGTGTCACAAAGGCTCTCCAAAACGGTGTAATGTGACAAAACGGTGTAGTGTCATGTGAAAGTAAGAGCAAATTAGCAAATAACTCATATATAGTAACCAAATTTGGTGGCGACTTTTTGGCACAGCGGAATCAATACGCCGTCCATGGGAATCAATCCCCAATAGCATATAACATAAAATTCGAAACCTTTCATTTCTGGAGCATCTCCTTCCTTACGTACGTTTTATTATGTTCGCAGACCCGTCGTCTCGGCGACCAGAATGACGCCCGTTGTCGTTTGTAAGGCCTTGTATAGGGTTCACCATGACGGTCTCTTTGCTGTGGAAGAGACAACGTGATGATGCTCATACTTATCTACGACAATATCTTTGTGCGGGTTTTAGCGTGTCGTCGAATAGCTCGAAAGTGAGCAGTTGGAGCCGAAGGTAACGAGAATGAAAACCGTCACCGCTTGCTTCCGGAGCCAGAGAGCGTTCTTCTCTAAGCTACGGCCAGGACCAGCTATGCAGCAACTGCCGTCTAGCAAGCAACTCATAGACAGTTACCCAATTTAGTGGCGACTTTTGGGCACAGCAGAACCTAGACGCCGACCATGAGAATTCCCAATGGCATGAATTTCGAAATTTTTCACTTCTGGAGTATCTACTTTTTTGCGGTTTATTATGCTTTGGTGTTTGTCGTCTCAGCAACCAGGATGGCGGCCGTTGTTTCCTTTGTACTTTTGAATAGATATAAATCTTAGGAATACAACCAATGCGCGTCGTGCGGCATACACAATTAGTATAACGTTTGACAATGCAATTAACATATGCGACGTATGCAACGTTCTTTTGTATTTGTGAATGAATATGAATATTATGAATACAACACAGTGTGTAACAAGGATTTGTATTATTCAATATACGGCAAATATAGTATAACGTTCGACCATGCATTTAATCTAATATGTTTGTTTATCAGGGATTTACGACGACTGCTGTGGTCATTTTGCGCCCATAAAAATTTCAACATAAATAATGTGTGGCATTTGAAGTTGAATGCTCGACCTATGTAGTTCATTAAAGACAAATCATGACGACAAACAAAAAACTCTAAGCAAACGCCTGTTAGAAGAAAAGATGCAGATTAACATGTGAGAGCCAACGTGAAGAGGACAATCAGAAAAAAGTTCCTTATAGGGGTCAACCTGGCATTTCACATCAGCATTCCAATGGAAATTAGCAAGGACATCATCTTTGTCACTCTCGTGCAATACACCATACATCTACAGCACCCACTGGATGTCAATGGTTACTCAGCCAAGCGAGTGTGGCACAAGATGATGGAAGACTGCATGACGTAGGCCAGTACAAAGACCAGCATCCCAATAGCAGTACTGCCTTCACTGGAGAGCAAGCTGTCTGTCCAGAATCAGATGTCAGGGGAAACCCAGTCTTCAGAACAACTGGAATACTTTCCCAAGATCCAATCAAAGTTCTGCAGCGTGTGCTTGGAATCGGTGTGAAAGAGGCCACGTCTGTGCTGGACGAGTCAGTCAGTACACTTTTGCAAGATTAAAAAAAAACTAGAAAAAGAAAGAAAACGGAAGCAAAGTCAAGCATCCCAACTGGAGTGACTGTAGAGCCTGAAGACCTCAACAGGTCATGAGCATCAGGCACTGCAAAGAAAGACAAAGCAACGCCAAAACACCAAATACGAAGCTTCACTGTTGCAACTCGGTAAGGTAGTACAGAAAGTGATGAAGAAGCAGTGCGTGGGGTTTACAACAAGTGGGACCTCCCAGTAGCAATCAGAGCGCAAACAAGGTGAACTGGGAAGGCTTTGGATCGTATGACACATGGTACAATGTTCAGTGTATCAGAAGCGTGACGAAAAATGATGACAAAATTATGGAGCAGTTCTGGACGTGCGTTCTGTGAGCCTTCACTAATGTTCTGTTCGGGATCATCACTGGTCCCTGTGCAATGGAGAACCTTTATGTTTTGATAGTTGAAAACATTTTAAAGTGCTGTTTCATTGTCCTCTGTTTACTTACAAAACCACTTTAGCGGTAGCACGATCACTCACATATCATGGCTGGAGTCAATGTGCCATCCAGATCGAATTCTAGGACGGCGCACACAGTCACAAGATTATCGTGTGTCACCGGTGGATGGAGCGACGGGGATAAACAGATTTCATCCCGTGTCTCGCCCGAGTCACGAAACAAGTGTGAAAACCTGCGCGGAACTACAAAAGAATATTATGTGCTGCAGTCAAAACCCGTTACTGAAACCGACTCGCACAATGAATACGACACAGAGTCGAGCAACGCTTCGCAATGGCCAATGTGCGTGTGCGGTACATTTAGTACGCTTTTGGCATTTGCAGGTAAACGTGGATAAAGCGAAAATAAGATGAAATCGCTATTCGAGCCTGAAGACCTCAACAGGTCATGAGCATCAGGCACTGCAAAACAAAGTGGGAAAAGCCACGCCAAAACACCAAATACGAAGCTTCACTGTTGCAACTCGGTAAGGTAGTACAGAAAGTGATAAAGAAGCAGTGCGTGGGGTTCACAAGTGGGACCTCCCAGTAGCAATCAGAGCAAACAAGGTGAACTGCGAAGGCTTTGAATCGTATGACACATGGTACAATGTTCAGTATATCAGAAGCGTGATGAAAAATGATGACAAAATTGTGGAGCAATTCTGGACGTGCGTTCTGTGAGCCTTCACAAATGTTCTGTTTGGGATCATCACTGGTCCCTGTCCAATGCAGAGCCTTTGTGTTTTGATACTTGAAAACATATATAAGTGCTGTTTCATTGTCCACTGTTCACTTCTAAAACCACTTTAGCGGTAGCTTGTTCGATGTGTTATGAAAAGTTATAGATTGACGACGTAACGATCACTCACATAGCATGGCTGGAGTCAATGTGCCATCCAGGTCGAATTCTAGGACGGCGCATACAGTCACAAAATACCGTGTGCCACCGGTGCATGGAGCGACGGGGATAAACTGATTTCATCCCGTGTCTCGCCCGAGTCACGAAACAAGTGAGAAAACCTGCGCGGAAATACAAAAGTATGTTACGTGCTGCAGTCAAATCCCGTTACTGAAACCGACTCGCACAATCAATACGACACAGAGTCGAGCAACGCTTCACAATGGTCAATGTGCGTGTGCGGTACATTTAGTACCTACGCTTTTGGCATTTGTAGGTAAACGTGGATAAAGCGAAAATAAGATGAAATCGCTATTAGAGCCTGAAGACCTCAACAGGTCATCAGCATCAGGCACTGCGAAGTAGTAGGAAAAGACACGCCAAAACACCAAATACGAAGCTTCACTGTTGCAACTCGGCAAGGTAGTACAGAAAGTGATGAAGAAGCAGTGCGTGGGGTTTACAACAAGTGGGACATCCCAGTAGCAATCGGAGCGCAAACAAGGTGAACTGGGAAGGCTTTGGACCGTATGACACATGGTACAATGTTCAGTGTATCAGAAGCGTGAATGTAGAAGATAAAAGGTCGCGGAAACAATGAGATAAAACTGCAGACTACCAGCCCTATGAGTTCGTCGAGAAGACGACCGAAAAACAAACGTAGTTGAGAAATTCAAAAACGTTAGGGATGAGAGTCGAGTCGTCATCTATAAGACCCCGTAAAAATACCGTTCTGGATCCGAATATACGAGCTCGGTTGGCCGAAAACTAGTTTCTAATAGGTCTCTGATTCTAAAAGCACATTGTAATTTGATGACTTTGACATGCCATGTTTAAACGGTAGACGTTACCGGCGTCCAGAAGCACGTAGGATGTGACGCAACACGGTTCCCATGGCGTCATCAGTAATATGCCATTCATCTGAGTATGGCCCCTTGCCGACTCGGCCATTCTCATATGACTATTCTATTTTCACTTACTAGATGGATTGGGTACACAAAGTAACGGCCGAGGTGTTAATATATTATAGACCTGCGCGGAAATACAAACGTAAAATGCAGCGCAAAAAGTTCCACCAAGCAGTTCAGAGGCGATTTTTTCCATACATAAGCATAAAAACACTTATTGTTGATTTCATCAGACGGTAAAATACGGGGGTTATTATAAATACTTAATAACTAGCCTTTGGGATGGGCAAAAGTCTGATACACTAAACCATGACCATATTTGTCGGCTGTTACTGTATCGTCGAATTTCCAATGGTGAGGCAGTTGGAGACAAAGGAAACGAGAATGAAAGACGTCATCACTTGCTTTCGAAGCCAGAGAGCGTTCATTCATCACCAATAATGGTGGAGCAGTTACGTGCGTGCGTTCTGTGAGACTACACAAATGTTCTGTTTGGGATCATCACTGGTCCCTGTCCAATGGAGAGCCTTTGTGTAGTGTCACAAAGGCTCTCCAAAACGGTGTAGTGTGACAAAACGGTGTAGTGTCATGTGAAAGTAAGAGCAAATTAGCAAATAACTCATATATAGTAACCAAATTTGGTGGCGACTTTTTGGCACAGCGGAATCAATACGCCGTCCATGGGAATCAATCCCCAATAGCATATAACATAAAATTCGAAACCTTTCATTTCTGGAGCATCTCCTTCCTTACGTACGTTTTATTATGTTCGCAGACCCGTCGTCTCGGCGACCAGAATGACGCCCGTTGTCGTTTGTAAGGCCTTGTATAGGGTTCACCATGACGGTCTCTTTGCTGTGGAAGAGACAACGTGATGATGCTCATACTTATCTACGACAATATCTTTGTGCGGGTTTTAGCGTGTCGTCGAATAGCTCGAAAGTGAGCAGTTGGAGCCGAAGGTAACGAGAATGAAAACCGTCACCGCTTGCTTCCGGAGCCAGAGAGCGTTCTTCTCTAAGCTACGGCCAGGACCAGCTATGCAGCAACTGCCGTCTAGCAAGCAACTCATAGACAGTTACCCAATTTAGTGGCGACTTTTGGGCACAGCAGAACCTAGACGCCGACCATGAGAATTCCCAATGGCATGAATTTAGAAATTTTTCACTTCTGGAGTATCTACTTTTTTGCGGTTTATTATGCTTTGGTGTTTGTCGTCTCAGCAACCAGGATGGCGGCCGTTGTTTCCTTTGTACTTTTGAATAGATATAAATCTTAGGAATACAACCAATGCGCGTCGTGCGGCATACACAATTAGTATAACGTTTGACAATGCAATTAACATATGCGACGTATGCAACGTTCTTTTGTATTTGTGAATGAATATGAATATTATGAATACAACACAGTGTGTAACAAGGATTTGTATTATTCAATATACGGCAAATATAGTATAACGTTCGACCATGCATTTAATCTAATATGTTTGTTTATCAGGGATTTACGACGACTGCTGTGGTCATTTTGCGCCCATAAAAATTTCAACATAAATAATGTGTGGCATTTGAAGTTGAATGCTCGACCTATGTAGTTCATTAAAGACAAATCATGACGACAAACAAAAAACTCTAAGCAAACGCCTGTTAGAAGAAAAGATGCAGATTAACATGTGAGAGCCAACGTGAAGAGGACAATCAGAAAAAAGTTCCTTATAGGGGTCAACCTGGCATTTCACATCAGCATTCCAATGGAAATTAGCAAGGACATCATCTTTGTCACTCTCGTGCAATACACCATACATCTACAGCACCCACTGGATGTCAATGGTTACTCAGCCAAGCGAGTGTGGCACAAGATGATGGAAGACTGCATGACGTAGGCCAGTACAAAGACCAGCATCCCAATAGCAGTACTGCCTTCACTGGAGAGCAAGCTGTCTGTCCAGAATCAGATGTCAGGGGAAACCCAGTCTTCAGAACAACTGGAATACTTTCCCAAGATCCAATCAAAGTTCTGCAGCGTGTGCTTGGAATCGGTGTGAAAGAGGCCACGTCTGTGCTGGACGAGTCAGTCAGTACACTTTTGCAAGATTAAAAAAAAAAAACTAGAAAAAGAAAGAAAACGGAAGCAAAGTCAAGCATCCCAACTGGAGTGACTGTAGAGCCTGAAGACCTCAACAGGCCATCAGCATCAGGCACTGCGAAGTAGTAGGAAAAGACACGCCAAAACACCAAATACGAAGCTTCACTGTTGCAACTCGGTAAGGTAGTACAGAAAGTGATGAAGAAGCAGTGCGTGGGGTTTACAACAAGTGGGACCTCCCAGTAGCAATCAGAGCGCAAACAAGGTGAACTGGGAAGGCTTTGGATCGTATGACACATGGTACAATGTTCAGTGTATCAGAAGCGTGATGAAAAATGATGACAAAATTGTGGAGCAGCTCTGGACGTGCGTTCTGTGAGCCTTCACAAATGTTCTGTTCGGGATCATCACTGGTCCCTGTCCAATGGAGAGCCTTTGTGGTTTGATAGTTGGAAACATTGATAAGTGCTGTTTTATTGTCCTCTGTTCATTTCCAAAACCACTTTAGCGGCAGCACGATCACTCACATATCATGGCTGGAGTCAATGTGCCATCCAGGTCGAATTCTAGGACGGCGCACACAGTCACAAGAATATCGTGTGCCACCGGTGGATGGAGCGACGGGGATAAACAGATTTCATCCCGTGTCTCGCCCGAGTCACAAAAAAGTGTGAAAACCTGCGCGGAAATACAAAAGTATGTTATGTGCTGAAATCAAATCACGTTACTGAAACCTATACGCACAATGAATACGATCTATATGCGATGTACGTTACTAAACTGCGACCTAGGCTACACATTTTGCAGGTGCACTATCCAATAGGTGGCCCATAGAAAGTCATCAAATTTAGTGGCGTCTTTTCAGTGTTCTGCAACACAATCAATTACAAATACTTTATGACTACCTATGAAAGTTATTGCGTTCATTCCAGTAGTCTAAGTAAAGAATAAGGAATCAAGGAAAAACCAGCAAAAATTAACCGCACCGCTCCTTCCTTTGTTCAAAAAGGGGAAAACCGATGTTAGCGGCAACTAGGCATGAGGGGAGCTACTGTGTTTTCCATAATATGATCATATCCATTGTCATGTGAAAATGACAAACATTCATTAGTTCTTGAGGTATGCTAGGGTAAGCATCGAAGAAGACAGCACGCACCCCTTGGCTCCGGTATGTGCCGAATAGGCTATTATAAATTACTATCGTTATCATGTAAGCACGATAACTAGTTTCTTATAGGTCTCTGCTTCTAAAAGCACATTGTAATTTGATGACTTTGACATGCCATGTTTAAACGGTAGACGTTACCGGCATCCAGATAGCACGTAGGATGTGACGCAACACGGTTCCCAAGGCGTCATCAGTAATATGCCATTCATCTGAGTATGGCCCCTTGCCGACTCGGCCATTCTCATATAATTATTCTATTTTCACTTACTAGACGGATTGGGTGCACAAAGTAACGGCCGAGGTGTTAATATGTTACGAACCTGCGCGGAAATACAGACGTAAAATGCAGCGCAAAAAGTTCCACTAAGCAGTTCAGAGGTGATTTTTCCATACATAAGCATTAAAACACTTATTGCAAAATACTTAATAACTAGCCTTTGGGATGGGCCAAAGTCGGATACACTAAACCATGACCATATTTGTCGTCTGTTACTGTATCGTCGAATTCCCGATGGTGAGGCAGTTGGAGACATAGGAAACGAGAATGAAAGACGTCATCACTTGCTTTCGAAGCCAGAGAGCGTTCATTTCTAAGCTGCCACCGAGACCACCTGCAGCAGGGTGTTGTATAGCAAGTAACCTGTCACCTCATTTGGTGACGACTTTTGCACACGGTTGAAGCCAGCCACTTCCGATGGGATTACCATACGCCATGAATTTCGAAAATTTTCACTACAGGAGCATGTCCTTCCTTACGTTTTATTATGTTTGTACACCCGTCATCCGGCGACCAGAATGTCGCCCGTTTTCGCGCTTGTACGGTCTGCTGGCAATCGGTGTGAAAGAGACCACGTCTGTGCTGGACGAGTCAGTGACCACATTATTGCAAGATCAAAAAAAAAAAAAAAAACTGGAAAAGGAAAGAAAAGGAAACCAAAGTCAAACATCCCAACTGGAGTGACTGTAGAGCCTGAAGACCTCAACAGGCCATCAGCATCAGGCACTGCGAAGAAGTAGGAAAAGACATGCCAAAACACCAAATACGAAGCTTCACTGTTGCAACTCGGCAAGGTAGTACAGAAAGTGATGAAGAAGCAGTGCGTGGGGTTTACAACAAGTGGGACCTCCCAGTAGCAATCAGAGCAAACAAGGTGAACTGCGAAGGCTTTGAATCGTATGACACATGGTACAATGTTCAGGGTATCAGAAGCGTGATGAAAAATGAAATTGAGGAGCAGTTATGTGCGTGCGTTCTGTGACCCTTCACAAATGTTCTGTTCGGGATCATCACTGGTCCCTGTCCATTGGACAGGCTTTGTGTTTTGATAGTTGGAAACATTTCTAAGTGCTGTTTCATTGTCCTCTGTTCACTTCCAAAACCACTTTAGCGGTAGCTTGTTCGATGTGTTATGAAAAGTTATAGATTGACGACGTAACGATGACTCACATAGCATGGCTGGAGTCAGCCAATGTGCCATCCAGGTCGAATTCTAGGACGGCGCACACAGTCACAAGAATATCCTGTGCCACCGGTGCATGGAGCGACGGGATAAACTGCTTTCATCCCGTGTGTCGCCGGAGTCACGAAACAAGTGTGAAAACCAGCGCGGAAATACAAAAGTATGTTATGTGCTGCAGTCAAATCACGCTACTGAAACCGACTCGCACAATGAATACGACACAGTCGAGCAACGCTTCGCAATGGTCAATGTGCGTGTGCGGTACATTTAGTACGCTTTTGGCATTTGCAGGTAATTGTGGATAAAGCGAAAATAAGATGAAACCGCTATTAGAGAAATATACGTAGGATGTTAAATATATACATATCAAACATGTATAACGATAATAAAGACAAGGGACGGATATGTTACTCGTGGTAAGCTATGCAAGTTGGATAAATAACCAATGTTACGGACGATGTACACCAAAGCCCGTTGCTGGGACTGAGTCGCACAATGTTATGACCTATATCGAAGAATCACATACGATCCTGTTAGTGTACGGTGCAAAGGAAGAGCGATGACAATTTGACATATGAAATACGACAAATGGAGACAAATAATAAATGCCTTTATCATGGTATGCCATCCAAGACGCATTCATAACCGATTTTGATTATGGGAGACATTAGAATCCGTTGCTGAGAATGAGAGGAGCGGAGAACACCGCCTATATGCGATATACTACTATGCTCGCATAACGACGACACAATAAAAACTGAAATGATTACCACATGACAATCATTGAGTGGTTCCTGAGATATGCAACCCTCAAATGCCGTACTGTTGGAAATCAGTTTGAGCACCCTCAACGTTTCAGGAGGCACGTGCCATGACTGACACTGAGATGTAACTGAAGGTTTGTTGTCAACAGTTAAGACACTATTCGTTAGAATGGTGTTTTTCTATTGAAAAAAAAACAAATCTGAGTTCCCTGACAATTTGGCAAAAGCTGCCCGAGATCAGTATCAAGAGTATTTGAGTACGGTGTCGAAAGAATGGGGTTAACCAACAAAAAAAGGCCGCAGGCCAATCCGTAAAGTGGTTGCTGAGGTATAAGCCTCTCAAAGGTAGCACAGACCTGGCCGGGTCTGGCCATGCCGGGTGGATGTTTAAATTTTCTTTTCATATTGAAGAGGACTGCCTAGCTCGTTGCGCTCGAAATAAATTTAGCCCCTACCCATTAAAAGGTAGGCAGGAGTGCCCTTCCCTTACCCGTGTGGCAAGATATGTAAAGCTAAGAACAGCAAAAGGTGTTAATCAAAGTAGGTGTTAGGAAAACTTAGCCACACCACTCCCCGCTATGTTCCGAATGGAAAACAAATTAAATTGGACTACTGTGAATATCAATGATTAATGACAATAGTTGGATTTTGTATTTCAAACTCATTTACTTGTTAGTAGCATAGGACATTGTGAATTTGACGTTGATTTTTTCTTTTCTACACGGTAGACGTCACCGGCGTCCAGATGGCGCGTAAGATGTGACGCCATACCGTTCCCATGGCGTCATCTGAAAGGTGCCACGCATCGGAATAAGAAACCTTGCCGATCCGGCCACTCTCGTCACTCAGGAGACGCACGGGGTCTACAAAATAATGGCCGAGCTGTTGTGAGACCGTGGCATACCGGTCCGCCAAAGCCTTAAAGGCTTCTACTGCCTCGGCATCTATAGACTTCGGGTGAATCGGCCCCAGCACGATGACTTTGGTGACAGAGTTGACCTCCATGGCCTTCAAAACATCTTTTACTGTGTTTTCGCACCTGGTTATGACATTTTGGTGGTCGGGTTTTAGGGTTTCATCGAACTTGTCCACCACTAGGCAGTTGGAGCCGAATGAGACAAGCATGAATGCCGGATAGATCTTTTCTGAAAGCACCATTGCCTGCTTCCTCAGCCAAAGGCTGTCCTTCTCCAGGTCTCGGCCGAGACCGCCTAAGCAACAACTGTTGTCGAGCAAATAGCCCATCGACATCCAGCCTACCTGGTGCCGAGTTTTTGGCACAACTGAACCCAAACGACGCCCATGAGAGTCGCCGATGGCGTAGATTTCAAAATTTCTCATGTCCGGTAAATCACCTTCCTTACGTGTTACTGTCCTTGCAGGCCCGTCGTCTCGGCGAACCGGATGACGACCCTTATCGCGTTTGTACCTTGCGTAAGGTGTCTCATGACGGTCTCTTTGCTGTGAAAGAGAAATGGAGATTAGATATTACACAATGCACATTTTTCCACACGACCAATCCAAGGTTTACGGTGAAAACTGCAAAATGTCGGTGATGGAGCAAATGAGGTACATAACACGACGCATCAGATAGATATAGCGATACATTGTTGGAGATAGAGACCCGAGCGAGAGAGAGAGAGAGAAAGAGAGAGAGAGAGAGAGAGAGGGAGAGAGAGAGAGAGGGAGAGAGAGGGAGAGGGGGAGAGAGGGAGAGGGGGAGAGAGAGGAGAGAGGAGAGACAGAGAGAGAGAGAGAGAGAGAGACAGAGAGACAGAGAGAGAATCATACACCAGAGACCTAACATCAAGCATCGGTTCACAGAAAATGCATAACTATAAAACCTGGCTGCCTAGGGTGAAATCAACCACACAACACACCAATCAATCAAAAACCCACCCACATATTGCAGGAGATGTACACCCACTGCACGTCTGTGAAGGCCTGTACACATTTTGTACACCACTGTATGACAATTTCTGATAAATTTTGTTCACCTCTAAGTGCAACTCCAAGTTTCTTAGGCAACCCAGAGTTATTGCACACCAGAAAGGGGAATCTCAGGGGTCACATTCGCCTCTCAGTAGGTCTTTCGGGGCTATCACGTCAGGGCAGTCGTTTAGAGTAGATAGCACTGACCTGGGTATAAGTCGATTCTCGAAGCTGGTGTCATAGTTTAGTTGAAGCCTTAAAGGGACCCTTCCACCATCCCAGCTTAACATTGGACTTGAGTTAAGGCAGCCGAATCGGGGTCCCTGTTCGTCCACTTGCAACATCAAGAAATTCTTAAATTAGGAGATATTTAATTTGAAGCTTACAGTTTTCAGATTTTAAGGGGCTAATGCATTTGTAGACCCCCTTAGAATTAGTGATATCAGCGCAGTTCTACTGAATGAAAATATTCTGCTTAGAAGTTTTGGTAACAGGTGGTTGTATATGCTGCTTTGCGTGCAATATATGTCATACTTGTGACCAGGTCACTTTGAATGACCCAACCTCAAGTCACTTTTTTGCAACTTTGTCACCGTGCCAGAGCTACAGTAGATGTCGGAGGCCTTTGAAAGTCACAGGATGTTATTAGGTCATTATTAGCTACAATTTGTTTATCTTGGAATTTTGATGTCGGTGACCTAAGGTCAGGTCAATTTCGCGACCTCCCCATTATAAGTCAATGGGGGAAAAATCAATTCCCTGTTTTTACCACTAAAACGGGTCGGAATGGCCCCATATACCATACATGACTTCATATACCATCAACCTTCACTACCTTGAGGTCTGTTTTGCTGTTGGGCAGCTGTAAGGTCATGGGATGCCATCAAAGGTCACCAAAGGTTTTTTGCCAATAACTCCGTACAGGAACAAGATACAGCCACGCGGATGGTCTCATTGTGTTCAGCTCGTCAAGACGCATCGAATGACATACATGATGACCACGAGGTCACGTGACCTGAGGTCAACCTTTGACCTTGACCTTTCGAGGTCAACATATATCATTCGATGGGGATTGACAAGAGGATCACGATGATGCCCTTAAATTGTTCCTATCATGACTAATTCGAAAGTTATTCGAGAAAAACTCTATCCTTATCTAGCGCCGCCATTTTGACTTTTTTGACCCCTGTGACGTCATCTTTGACCTGACCTGAAAATGACCTGTGTAAAAATTGTAGACCCTATCCGTGCGTATCCGATGCCGTTTACCGCTTGTCGCTATCTTGCTTCGTTCTCGAGATCTCAGGGGGGGGGGGGGCGGTCATCCGCCCCCCCCGTCGGTACGAAGTTGGCGTAGACCCCCGTCGGTGTGCGGGTTAAATCACTGGTTCCAAATGCTGTTGTAAGCAGAGCAGAGAACCCAAAAATTAAACAAAAGTTAATGCCTGATATCTTGAAAACCAGTGAATAGTGTAGACCCTGCCAGCCAGTAGCGGCGGAACACCTTCAATTAAGGGGGGGGGGGGTTCTGCTGACTGACACTGCTGACTTTTGGTCCCATTTTTTCCATGCAACACCCATAGGGCTATTGCTAAAATGCCAAAATCAAAGGGGGTCACGGTGCCCGGGTCCCCTCTCCGTTCCGCCGCCTATGCTGCCGGCAACCCTCTACCCTCTGATCGCAAAAATTCCGGTTTTATGGCAGAATTTAGAGTACAAAGGTTAGCATTTGCACAAAGCCGCGCACGGCCGGTCCTCTTACCGACTTCGACTGGCTATGACCTGCCACCAAAACTGCAACCGTACCTGTCAGGAGGCCCATAAACGTGAAGTGCCCGTCACATTTCAAACCCAGACTGTTGTAACCGGGAACGCGTGCTCTCACCATGCAGAGTCCAATGCTCTAACGACTGAGCTATGGGACCGGCCAAAAGTTCACTTTTCCTTGACATTAGTTTTGAATTGAGGTAGCCAAAATGGGGTCCCTGGCTTGCACTTAGTTTTAGGCACTAGCAACATTGAGAAATGCCATAAAAATATTTAGCTTCAACGTTGCAGCACTTTGGATTCAGAGGGGCTCATGCATGTGAATGTCCCCTCAAAATGTGAGGTCAGCCTCAGCACTGATGTAACAATTTTAAATCTTCTACTAAAACTTTGCATAACAAGTGGTGGTACAAGCTGCTGTGCGCGCAACAACTAGGTACCACACTTCAAGTAGGTGCCAAAGAATTGCTTCCAAATCATGTCGTAGGAACAGCGGAGGTGCCAAAAAGTAAGCCTTACCTTACCTTGTTGGTAATTGGAAAAAGGCTACTTGGCCTGGAGATCCAGATCTCATTGAGCTCAAGGTTAGGAAGTAGCTAGGGTGCTGTTGGGCGGCCAGCTAGCACGCTAGCCCGCGCACACATACGTGCACATTGCCCCAGTAACAGGCTGTTGACCAATGAGAGGTAAGATACGGGGGCACAGGTTCACGCTTTTCTCGCTTCTCATCTGTCAATAGTCAGTTGCCGAGGTAACGTGCACTGCGTGCTAGCACACAAGTCGGCTGTCAATCAGGGCTTAGGCTCTTAGGCAGACAGTGTCAAACATAGTGCCTCTCCACTCTCCAGTGCAGTTGGGGAAACTACGAAGCGAATATCAAAAAATTGATTGGTCAATAAATTGACCTTTGATGACCATATACGGGCATAAATGAAACCCCCGCTACTAAGGGTGAAAACCGGTACAACAAGCCGGTACTTGCGATAGGTATAGCGTCCACTTCACGGAGAGAAAAGGCTTCCATTTTTCACTAAGAATTAGCGTGATTTGATTAAATTTGGTGCATTGACTCGAAAATGGCGATAGGAAAACGGCCGTTATGCAGGTTCTGGGCAGTGTTCTAAAATTGGATTTTGGTTGGGTGTGGCGATGAAGAAAGAAAATTCCTAGGATGAGAAAAAAAAGAAGTAAATACCAGTAGTAGGTATTCTCGCAGAAGGGTGTAACGCCCTTTTATGCCATTTGATGAAGCAGGATTTCATGTCAGGGTTTTGACAGGATCTAAAAGAAAAGTATGTGGATACATCGACTGCCAAGTGACATATAACCTGGCTGTTTGAATGCATGAAACATTTTCCAAAGATGACATAGTGTCACTTTATCTGATTTTTTGGATGAAAATATAATCTCCATTGGGTGTGATTTTCCACCCAAAAATCTGAAAAACGGAACACTGGTTCTGGGCGTCACAACCAGCTGGGCATTCAATAAATAGATTGGTGTTTTGAAAGAAAATTGTTAAACAATTCAATTTAATTACAATAAGCAAAGATATTTAATTTTAAAATAACAACTTAACCACAATTAGAAAAACCATATACCAAATAAGGTTTAGGCCCGAGTGGACAATTGTGACGCTGTTGGTACAAATATGTAACAGCAAAAAAATGTAGGTTTTTGGTTAGGGCCCTGTTTCACCGCCCGACGCTGCGCGCGCTGCAGCGCGCTGGGAGCTGAGGCGTACCCCTGACGTCACTCGAATGACGTTGCGTGTGATCCGTTAGCTTATGATGAATCGTGTTTGGAACAGAGGTCCTAAATAACCAAGTAGAGAGAGAACAGAGGTTTGAGTGCGAATGCTGCTAGCGTGCTGATGGTGCTGGCGCTTGGGTGCTAGTGTTTTGCGATGACGTCATAGCGTAGCGTCAGAGGAAAGTTTGTTGGTATTGCCATGGAAACCCAACGCGCCGACGCACGCAGCGCACTGCAGCGCTCCACCGTGAAACAGGGCCTAGGTTAGGTTGTAGGTTTGTAGGTTTTAGGTTGTAGGTTGGTAGGTTGGTAAGTTGTAGGTAAATAGGTAAGGTTTGGTCAGGTTTGATTGTTTTTTTCTTTTATTTCCAGGACATATAAGTATCATTTTTGGATTCAGGATGTCAAATAATGTAAGAATATGAAAACTTTATCTTTTAACAGTCACTCAGACTCAATGTATACTTTTACCCAAAATAATTTAGCTTAGCTGAGGAAATACGTGCAAAAACTGATTTTATGATTTGAACGTCACTTTGGTAAACCAGTGAATACCAATACTAGAAGCAGGGCACAGCAAAGCGTAAAGTGTTGACTGATGAACGGGGGCGAAACGCGTAAAGGAGGAGATGAGCTGGGGCAAAGCTGCAATCGCAAAAATGGTACATTTGATACATGAACCAAAAGGAATAATGAATATGCAAAAAAAGTGTGAAGTTATTCGAAGAATTGCAATTTCTTGAATGGAACACAGATATTCCATAGATGGATGCTTTGAAACAGAAGCAGCGGTAATAATGAAAATTTAAAAGAACACAAAAATTGGTGATAACAAAGGTAAATATAGCGCAAAGCGACGATCAGCGGCGCAAAGATGGCTGCGCGGAATCAGCAGCTAAATTCACAGCGCCAAGCATCATATCGCAGTGGCACTTTTAAACAATCAATAAATGGCGTGCATTTGATATCCGGAAAATCAAGGATTAATACTCAACGAGGATTGTTGCAGACGACATTCCGTATATCGAAAACAAAAGCTATCCCCGTTAACTATAGGTCGGCTCAAGGATGTCACGGTGACTATAAGGATGTAATCAAAACGTTCCCGACGAAAAAGTGGGGACGACTGTGGGGGTCAAATAAGCTCAGGTTGCCATGGTAACGGGGCAAATTTGGCATAAGAGCGCATCTAATTTTGTTGTTTAGAATGCCCACGGTGCTCACAGCCTGACAGCGCTAGCGAAGGTGTCTGCTTTTGATTTCTAGATTCATTTGAGATAGATCATTGGAACATACAGACAAAGATGCCATGCCCTCCAGGTCCAAGCATTTGTTGTGCGGGAGGGAACGGGTGCGTTACGAAGTTTTAACGATAACAACGCTCTTTTTCCAAACATATATACATAAATGCATCGCAGAAACTTTCACGGAGCAGTTGGAAGCCCAGATAACACACCCACATCATAACCATGTGGTTACCATATGGGCATGCCCATCTATTCCACATGGTGCCCACATGGGCTGCCCATATGGGCACCACACATAATTGGAAGGTGTTTCTGCATGGTAACCATATGGGCTGTCCCATGTGGTAACCATATGGGCTGCCCCATGTGGTAACCATATGGGCTGCCCCATATGGTAACCATATGGGCTGCCCCATGTGGTAACCATACGGGCTGCCCCATGTGGTAACCATATGGGCTGCCCCATGTGGTAACCATATGGGATGCCCCACGTGGCAACCATATGGGCTGCCCCATGTGGTAACCATATGAGCTGCCCCATGTGGTAACCATATGGGCTGCCCCATGTGGTAACCATATGGGCTGCCCCACGTGGTACCCATATGGGCTGCCCCATGTGGTAACCATATGGGCTTTCCTATGTGGTAACCATATGGGCTGCTCCATATGGTAATCATATGGACTGCCCCACCTCATAACCATATCGACAGTTCTGAGCAAGAACATCCTAAGTGTCAAATTTTTCGAAGTTGATATTTTTATACCATTCGACTCAGCTCGACAAGCTGAGTCGAATGGTATAAAAATTTTCAATTTCGAAAAAATTTGACACTTAGGATGTTCTTGCTCGGAACTGTCGATATGGGCTTCCCCTGTGGTAGCCACGTGGCTGCTCCATTCATCCCATATCAGGCTATCCCATTTGATAACCATGTGCTGCCCACAAGAATATCAAACAGGTATCGCGATAGGCAACTTTGTCAGCTGTCCCACGCAAGGACTACATGGTAAACTACTGATTGGCTGTAGGTCCTTTTGTGGACTAAAACTACGTCGCTTCCTTTCACTTCTGGTACATTCATACATCAACAACTACGACAGTTTCCTTTAAACGTATATTCCACGCGAGACACTAGGTGATGCACTACACCGCCCCGCCCTCGTCAGCGACATCGTTCTGTTCGACGCCGTTGGCGCCGCCACCGCCGTTGCTGGTGTCGGCGCCCCCGCTGCCACCGCCGCTACTGTTGGTGGCCTGGCGCGCCGTCCTGTAGCCTTCGCGGTCTCGGCTGTTCACCAGCCACTTGCCGATGGCGTTGGCGATCTCTTTCTCGGTGACCGACAAGGCCGGGTTCTGTTTGACTGCCCCTGTCGAAAAAACAACAAAAAGCTTGTTACGAGCGAGCAAATCCTTCCGTTATGAGCTAGCGAGATGTAGAATAAGAAACTGACGCACTCGCTAGTTTGTCGCCCAGAAAGGCGTCTTGCTGGCGGTAGAGTCGTGCGTTGCTTCTGGTAATTCAGATAAACGCAGTTGAAGCAAAAGGAAGCGAGAACTTTATACTGTGATAAAAGCAAAACTGGTGAGGTAACGTTTTTAATGAGGTAATTAAAGAAAAACAATTGTCTACTTCATTATCCATAAAATGAGCATCACGATAGAAATGTATTAAGAAAACGGGTTAGAAGATGTGCTTACTGTAGACGACAGTGTAGAGCTTCGTTGCTCTAAAGCCCGTCTTTCCGTGACGCTGGGCCCCATTCATATTGAAGCGCTGCCCAAGGCCGCTCCTCATCAGTTGGGCCATGACGCGGCGGACACACTCGCCAACGGTGCTGCCGCCTTTGTCGCCCAGGTACAGCACCTGTGAAATCAGACCTCGTGTGATTAACGTAATGGGCGGGCTAACCGATAACTTAACCCGCGCCCCGTAGGTCTATCAGCGGACCCTACCACCCGTAGAGGGGGGAGGCCTTTCGCCCCCCCCCCCAGATCTCGGAAAGTTACCGGCCGACTTTAAAGATTTAAACAGCGTTCGATAGCCCCACCGGGGAACTACCTTGTGACCCAATTTCATTGACCTCGGTCAAACCGATGACGTCACAGGTCACGTCAAGAGTCGCATTTTCACCTTTTACAGGCATTTCAAGAAATGTGTTGTAAAATCGTCACATGTTATTGAAAATCATCGACGGAGACTTGTTCGTCAAACAATATTTTGCTATTTAAGGTCACTACCACCAGTGGCCAGTTTCACCAACAAAAAATAGACGGTTGCAATTATTTTTTGAAAAAAATAACACATGAAAAAAGTAATTGCTGACCAAATTATATAGCACTTAAAAGCTAAGCTGTTACATTTTTCAAGTCAGCGATTAGTATTTTCAGCAGTAAATGGCATTTTAAGACTATCGTTTTGTCAAAAAAAAAAAAAAAATCGCAGCCGTCTATTTTTGTTGGTGAAACTGGCCTCAGGTCAGGTCACTGAGGGTCACAATATGAAACTGCCGTGTGACATATGCTTTATGTTCCGTTTGAAAAAAAACTGTCCTTTTTTACTTACCATGGCTTGCACGAACTCTTCGTCCGCACCCAGCCTCTCTTCAAGGCTTCTGAACTCGTCCATCGAGGTCAGAGGCAGGCCGGCAGCTCCGCTCGGCAGTCTTCCCGCCGTGGCTGGGACGCTGCCGCCGCCGTTTAACCGCCGCAGGATGCTGTGCAGCAGGGCGCCATGGACCTGCTGCGTTTCGCGGATCTCATTTTGACGCTCTTTGTAGTCCTCGAGCATCGTTATCAAGTGTTCGAATAGTCCACGAACTGAAGATTGGTCTGAAACGACACGATTACAACAATCCCTTAAAGGTTGACAACCATAAGGTGAAAGCAAAAATCAATGTCGCTATGATGAAAGCAATAATCAATACCGCTTAACAATGAATTGAATTTTGAATTTTGATTTTTGCTTGATCTCGCCTAAAGAAAACAAAGTCCGAAAATGTATTCTAGACCTTCTTTCAATTAAATTCTCCGAAGTTATAAGCATAAGGTCAATTTACACATTTTTATTTAAAGCATACCAAGAAGCGAAACACTTAACCCTTAGCTACCTAGTCAGTGTCCATTACTTAAATAACATTCATGAGTTTGCTTGATGACGACGTGACTGGCGTCATTAACCTTTTTAATTCGCTTGCGAAAAAAAAAATCCTGCCATCCACAGTATGCCGCACAACAAATTACCTTCACCGCTCTGTCCGTTCGTGGAAGGTCGACAGTCGGACCCGTTTGAGGTGCTCGGCGCAGAGCTGGAGCCAGACGGTTTCGGCTGGACGGTCGGGCGTGCTGTCGCACTCTTGGTGCAGCGCATAGCGGGCGGCGGCGTAGGAGCCCGCATCATCACCTCCTCTTCCTCCCCGGACTCCGAGCTGGACGACACAGCTCTGTGCCGGACCCGGCTGCAAAACACATCACAAATGCTCAATTCACATACAAACAAGTGTATAAACCCACACACACAGTACATAATTAAACTGCGTTCAACTGGAGTCACTGAGGCTAGCGAAAGGCATAAAAACATGTAATAAAGCATTAATTTGAGGATAAGCATGTGATGCTCAAATGATATATTAACTTGATGTGTTCATATGAATATTGAAAATTAAATGGAAAGGACCAAGGACAAATAAACTTGCTCGGTTGCTCGCAATGCCCTGGCACTGTAATTCCTCACGGGGCGCAGGTAGTTGGCGAGTGAAACAGCCTGAGGTGTTAGCATTACCCGCAACTTCTCGAGGTGTGATGTATTACCCGTCATGGACGACGCCATCCGTCATAGTTAAGTGGCTCCTCATATTGATTGCATCTTATAATAAGAGCAGTCTTGTTTTCCTATTTCTTAATTGGTTACCTATTAAACTCTCAGTATTTCTAGCACAAGAAACACTTACCGCCGTTTACGTGCAGTTTCCTCGTCCTCGGTCTGCAGGTCCGAAGTTTCGTCGGCTCGGGTCAGTTTTTCTCTGGCTCGCTCATAGGTTGCTAGTGGAAATGACATAAAATGTTAATCGTTGCCCGCACATGCGATTTTCCCACCCTAAAATGCACATGGGGAGGGGTGCCTCTAGACGCGTCATTTCTTTCCTAGTATTGATAGAACTTTGCAACAAAATTATCAGATTCTTTGGAAAATGACAATTCCTACAGAATCCAAATTTAACTTCTCAGGTTGACACAAAGCGCAAACAAATTCATGCTTTAGTATATTACTGCTTAAACAATACTGTTGACTCACTTTACAGGGATATACATAAAGTATTGTTAAGGTTTAAAATGAATCATTGCAAAATTTTCATTCATAAATGAATCATTTGCAAAAGATTAAAGCTAGCCTGATGGGATGCCATACCTGCTTTGCCAAGCACCCTGACGTCATGCTTGTTCCATGAAGGTGAAGCCGGGGCAAGGTTTCTAGCCTGCTCATCAGCTTTCCTTGGAGGCCAAAAGCAA